AATTTCAGAACTTCAAAAATTATATCCTTATTATGTTGCGCAATTCTTTGTTTGTACTTCTATATTTAGTCATGCGGATGAACCAATTAATTATGTCCCTTATTCACATCTTGATGGCTCTACAGATGAATTGCCTGAATTATGTGTCTACAAATTACTTAAAAATGCTTACAGATGTATTCGTAATTACTTAAATGTGATTGCCATCGTTATTATTGTGTTAATATTTGTATTATACGTTGGAATTCTTGCTGCAACTCTTTCTGGAGTTCGAATAGATACATTCAAATTTTTTGCTATAGTTGGAACGTTACTCTTCACTGGACCAATCGTATGTGTTGTATTGGTTATCACCTTCTGGAATTCAATGGTAAATAGATTAGAGGAAAGGAAGATTTTTTATCCAGCAATTAAACTACTCGTTCCTTTACCCAAATTTGCAACTTATCCCGCGAAATATAATTTCTTCTACGAATTATTAAAACCTGCTCCGAATGAATTTGTAAACACAACCAAATTACTCATTATTTACTCTGATTGGAATGGAGAAGCACTTTTGAACTTCAAGTGGAATCAATTTGGAAAATATTACTATTATGCAATTTGGATGGCGTATACCACCTTTCTTTTAACCTTTACCCTTGCAACAAGTAAACCCAATAATTATATCTCTTTAGAAAATCAAAAAATCCTATTGTTATGTTCTGTTGTTCTTGGGTTTCTTCAGCTAACAATTGAAATCCGCCAATTTATCTGGGATTGGAAAAGTTACATCATCAGTACTTGGAATTGGTTTGGTAAATATTATAATTTAATGAATATATTTTACAGAATCTAGAAAACTTTTACCCAAATCATAAGCATAGGTACTCGATAAGATTAGAATTTTAGTTTTACAAACATGTAAAATTTTAAAAAATAGATTGAGTAGTTGTCAAGTATCTATGGTTAGAATTTAAAAAATTTTTCCAAATTCTGTTAACATACCAAATGGTTTTTTATTTTCATATACTGTTTCTAATTAAATAATGAATCTTTTTTTGATAGATCTTGGAGCATATTTATTTCCAATTATAACATCTTTCTTTTGGTTTACAAATACCCCGATACCAGCTTGGTTATTAGCTATTTCATGCTTATTTTTAGATCTAAAATTTCTATTATTTTTTAGAGCATTTGAATCTTTGAATTTTGGTGTTCATTTTGCAATCATAATAGGTGTTGCAAAAAGCATATTTTCCTTTTTAGTAATTCTAGCATTTATTGTATTTTCATATGCACATGCATTTTTTATACTTTTGCGTCCGGTTAGAAAATTCGACCCTAAAAATCCAATTTTTGATAATGACTTAAATAACCCATGGAACCTTGTATCTAACTATGATTCTGTTCGTAACGAAAGTGTAATTGAGATGCCATCGTTTATTTTGCATCCGAATTTAAATATCAATTTATATGAATATTTTGAAACTTCACTATTAGCCGTATATAAATTAATGACAGGTATTATTATTAAAGCTGAAAATTTTTTTACTTAATACAACTTTTTACTTTTATTAACTTTTTGTTAACCTATTAGGTGATACTAGTTCGTTATCCAACTGGGAATACCGCAATAATATAGCTCTTGTTGCTTTATGGATAACGTTTTCATTCTTTACGGTTATTTATCTTTTAAACCTATTTATTGGCTTATTAAATATTGCCATTGCGGGAAATAATTCTAGAGTTTTATTTCTACTTTTAAGAGCTGAAGTATGTATATATTATATTTATTTTTATTTTTCTATTTTGATCTATGTTTCTAGATTAATCTATAATTTAATCATTGTTCTTTATAATCTGTTGATTTTTCAATGTTTAAATAGTTGATTGCTGAAATTGAAATATTTTTTCTACTTCCTCATCAAAGAAGATGGAAATCCTGGTTTCCAGATCGCATGTAGGTTGAATATTCTTTCACGTTTAGCACAATACGTATATGTTTAGAGCTAATTTTTAACACTTTTGTTAATTTATAGTTTTTATTATGCGCATGTTAATAAATTAAAAAATAAGATACATAATCTTAATACCACTTATGAAGATAGCCGATATAAGCCAAATATTCAGAATAATCTGCTAGAACTTCTTCATCTAGATGCAAAGGAATTAAATTTAACAACTCAAATTGATATTCAAGAAATTCAAAAAATTGATAAATCTACACAAACTGACAATTAAACTATATAGTATATATGAAAAAATCTTTCGTTTTACCATTGGTGATGCAGCGATCTTACAATAAATTTTTATCAAAACAAAAATTAACATTTTTTAATATTTGGGGTAAGATTAAGAACTAGAACTATAACAAGATAGGATCTATACTTAAAATTTCAAGGGAAGTTTTTGTTTATTAGAACCCCATAGTTTTATTAGTAAAATTTTATATTATTTTATTATATACTGGTGAAAAAGAATTATCGCGCTTGAAGTTGGCATTTGCAACTTCAAGCAGATGCTAACTTCAAGCGCGATACTGTCAAAATTACTGTGAGCTTTTTGGATCTGCATTGTTTTCAATCAACTTACTCGACGTTTACTGGTATCGATATAAAATGTAGTATGAGCGCAGTAAAAAACATTATAGATGGAAACAATTCTGCGACAGTATTACATAGAATAAACTTGGAATTTTATAACCAATCACTTGAGAAATCGATTCCTAACATCTTTTAAATTAAGACATTGAAATCTGTAAAACTTTATTAACGCAAAAAATCAATCAAATATATTTTCCTTCACATACTGCGCTTTACCCTTCACTTTTCTTAATGCATGTATAGAATGTGGTAGAATTCAAAAATAGAAATTATAACAATGATTATTAATCATTTTCATTGTTAAAATTTTCATTTTTGAATTCTACCACCATCTTTAAAGCATGCTTTTCTATTGTATCCAGCTTGTAAATAAGTTGTGTCGAGATAACTTTAACGATTGTAGTTTAAACAATTATGCTAATAATGACAAGTTTTCAACCCACAATTTTACTAAACTGGAAAATAACAAATAAAAAAAATAGAAAAAGAAAAGTATGACGTTCTAAGCCTCGAATCCGATATCACGAGTAAACCATGATCTTGAATTTAATTTTAAAATACATTTTTGATACACCACACCTACTCTTTTGATGTACCCTAAAATTAATCAATAAGATTGCGTGCTAGGTTTGTAGCGCTATGTACCCCCGCCCAAAATGGAAATGATCGTCGTTGTTTATATGGGGACCGTCCAACTAAAAGGGGGTCGTTTAAAGCCTGGCACCTTACGAAATTTCCCGATCATCGATGATCATCGGATAATCACGGGATATA